TAAACTCAATAGCTTTAAAATGACACCAAAATCAGCTCTGTAGGTGCCATACTTTTCGAGATATGGTCGGTTAAACACGCAAGGTATCGCTAATTAGCCAAAAGTTCGTTAGCAGATATCTCGCTAATTAGGAGGCCTAGAGAAAAAATTTTTCATTTCTGATCGTTTCTCATGGGCCTCAACAACATACAAAAATTTAAACAAAATCCGAGAGATTGAGGTTTTTTTTTGGTTGATTTGACATGGAATTACCCATTATAAGTGAAATAATACAACCTATTTAAATATACAATTGTACCATATACATGTATTTCATTTAAAAAAAATTTATATTTCATTTCCATTAAAGTATTATCTTTGTAGTCCTAAGTAATCTGGTTTCCTGTTGGTTTTCATATAACCATTAGTTTACTCTTTGTTTATACCAGATCCAAGAAGGCTGTTTATCAATGTCTTTCATAGTTAGTTCAGTTCAAAGGATTTTTAAGTCTGTTTTGTATATTTGTGGGGCAATATTTGCTTAAAATTCTTAATTATAATATTGTAATGTATGGACACAACTAATATTAAAGTGCAATGCTGTAAATCAACTTTCGGTTGAGTATATTTTTCTGTATTTAATGTATGTTTTTTGTTAGTTGGATTGTGCAATTGATCCTCATTTTCTGTATGAAAACATTGATGGAAATAAATAATTTTTTGACAGATAATTCATTGTACTGTGTTTGATTAGTGTGCCAATTTTCATTAAAATTGAACATCAGCAACATGCCGTTGCTAAGGAGTATTTGTAGTAGTGCAGCGTCTGCTCAGCTATTTACGCACAAATAAATTAAAAATTTTAAAGCTTATATACTCAAGTATCTAAAAATACCAAAAACTTAAATTTCAATTTTTGCTACAACTTGGCCATTTTGCCACGACGTGCGTCATTTGGTTACATTTTCCCTAGACTTCGTAAGGAAAAGTATTCTGTAAGTTTTAATCCCATCTGCATTTATTTGAATATTTTTTAATTATAGCCTAAATAAGCAGGCCCTAGGGCCTATGCCTTAAAATAAATAAACAATAATCTGGACTTCAGTAAGGCTAATGGTAGTAATGCAGTCTCTAGAAAATTATCTTTTCACATGGGTTTTTGACTGGTCTAACATTGACAATATCAGTATATTAGCTAGTATATTTAGCAGGCCTAGGCTAGGCCTGTGTCGTGCTATTGTTTAGTGCATCACTATGTTTGTAGTATTGTGAAATGTCAGGAACTTGAATTAAATTAAATGTACTTGTAACCGTAATGGTGTGTGTACTTTTTTCACTGCATGACTACTCGTCTTTAACTCATCACGCATTTATACAGTAGATAAAGTTTACATTCATTACATATTCTACCAACACAGGACCTAGATTACTTTCTACACACAACAATGTTCTCCAAAGATTTGAACTGTTGTGGAACTATTCCCATGATAGTCAGAGATTCCTCTGAGGAATCTACTGGCGGTGGATCTCCACCAGTAGCCCAGGCCTCACTTATGCTTTTGCCACTTATTTTTGGCTTTGGCATTTGCCCAAAATTTCCTAAGCTGGCCGGCAGTATTGATGGGTTGTTACACCAGTCAACTCCCTGTTGAATTCTCCCTCAACAAGCTTCCAACATTCATTGTTTTTTCAATTGTTCTGAAGTCTTTCACTTTACTTTCTAAAGTGTCCATATATTTTTCAACGACAGCAATTAATGAATTAAATACGATGCTCGATCACTCAATCGCAAAGCCTATAGCCTAGTCAGCTAAGTAGTGACGCAGTGTTTTGTTTTTAGTTGAACTGTAACTAGGACTTGATTTAGTTGTAGTTCTAGTTTGAAATTTGACAAAAGTTCCTTTTAAGAGTACGGGCGTAATTAGTCTTCTCAACATCCTGACATTTGCAATTCACCTAGTTTCTGTAACATTTTTCTTTGGTAGTAGTCTGTCTTTGAAACTTCTTGCTAAAGCTGGTATTGACAATTTAACTCCAGATAACACTTTATTGCCTGGTAGTAAATGATTACTGAATTCAGTATTTTTAGATATGAAGGAATCACTTGCTTTACCACCAAAATGTTTTGAAACGTGTAACAAAACTATTAGGTGATAATACAAAAAAAGTTTTGTAAGTATTATGATGCTTGTAGTTGGAGTATGCTTGGCACATTGTATAAGATATTTTGGCCTTTGCACAAATACTTCCATATAATCAATTATGCAAGTTACCATTGGGTGGGTAACTTCAAAACACTTTTAAGTTCTAAAAAGTGTATCGCGCGGCAGCCAGAATATTGCGTTTTCTTTCATATAAGATGTTATTATTGGCAGCCCGGCAGGACATCTACTACTACTTCGAACCTTCCAAATCCTTGACTAAAATTTTTAGTACCATTTCCTAAAAAACATCACCAACCACCCAATTCTGCTATTGGATGTTTTATCTGGATAGTCATGTCAGCATCAGTTATACTTGCTCCGTGTTAAAAGGTGACAATGCCAGAAGGGGTTGATTATGGTTGTTCGTTTTACTTCCCATTTACAAAAATTGTACCTATCCAGAGTTGTGATTTTGATTTATTCTCTGTGTCGCATTTTTTTTCCTGTTATGAGGTATTGGGAGAATGGCTTCCTAGAATTTGGGACAACAGGGCCTTGCATTACAGCTTGCATTACAAGTGATTTAGCACTTTATTTCATTTCATTTCATTATTGATTAGGTCTGCTAACACAACCCTTACAATCACTCCCTTGCCATAGGATGTATCACCATTCAAACACTTTGTTGTGTTGAAATTCTGGTAGACTTTGTCCCATTCCTTCCAACTTAGATCTAAATATCAGAATCTCCACTGGACCCATTGCTTTTAACACATGATTATGGTACGCATATGTAACATTTAAGCCCAGCCAACTCAGCATTAAATTTGTATGCCTGGAACAATTTAATTGATCTGTCAGTGCGTTTTTCTGATGGTGTTGTGCGGATGGCATTTTTTAAAAAGAGCATGTGCTTCAG